TCATCTTTAATCTTCAACTGAAGGGCTTCTAACAATGGGCTTGTGGCTCTTTGTCAGAGTGCAAAGCCCAACCCAAGCCTCTTAGGTAACCAGATGCAATGATATCTTTGGAAAACTAAAAAGGAGTAAAAGAGAATGATGAAAGCAAGACCTACAGCACCTGAACTACTAACAAATTATGGCATCCTTCTCCAAGCTAGAATCTTCCAGATATGCTGAAGGGTAATTCCCACCATCCCAAGTGAGCACATCTGGAAGACACCAGGTTGAGAAGGCTGCTCTGCTGCATAAGACTCTTTCTGCTGTGTTTATTATCACAATTATATCCACTGATATGTTTACGTCTACTGTAAAAACAGTACTAAATTAATTATAATTATTACATTTATTTATAAAATAGATTGTTGGGAACAGTTATTTTTTGTACTGTACAAATGTTTCATTAGGATTAATAGCCACATTGACACTTTGTTTGAAATAAATCTTTAAAAGCTTTGCTACCAACAGTTCTTGGGGAAAAACAAAAAACAAAACACAGAAGTCATCATGAAAGAACTAAAAAAGATTCAGCATTCAAATACAAGCTGTGTTCCATAAGCAGCAATAGCAAGTCAGCAATACAAACATACACACACTGAAACTCTAGGGTTGAGTGAAGTCAAAGTCATGGGCACTATCTCATATGGATTATGTGCTAAATAATTTCATCCATTATTTCTAATAATGGAGATATCAATATTAAGAAAATCAAAAGGGCAGATTTCTTTATAACAGAATACCATCACCCAGGAATATTTTTAAGAGCACTGGTTGTATGAAACTTCCTTTACGAAGTGTATGAATATGTTTCACACACAATTGATAAATAAAAACGTTTATAGCTACACAAACACTACTTTGCAGAAAATAACAGAGGCCTCTCTGTCTTTCTCCAGGTGCTAGGTTTTCCTATGCACAAATACACACCTCTGCAAACTCTGCCTCCTGAACTTGAGTGGAAGGGAGTTGAATTGTATGAGGTAACTTACACATGCAGGAGCTTTACATAGACACTGTCAGAAAGTTCCCGATCAGTACAGTAGTTCCTTAAAATTCCTGGTTTACATACAGGTAGTCCCTGAGTTACAAACAACCTGTACTTAGAAATGAACTGCCACAAATTAATTTTCAAAAATTACTGCAGGATATCATCATCACCAGAGATAGAGGAAGAAAAGGGGGAGAGAGGGAGGCCCTCCAAAGAGTGTCTTCCTGCCACACTGATCTGGAGAGGGAAATCTCTCCAGCATTTTCTTGCTGCAAAAAGGAGGCATTCATGAGTCAGGGGCAAGGGGACTAGAGATATTTGCCATGTTTCCACTTTCATGAATGCCCTGCTCCCCTAAGCCCTGCAAATGTGGAGGGCCGACTATGTGATTCGACTTCCGTACAAATTCAACTTAAAGAAGAATTTCCGTTTTCTCAGGAATGGAACTCATTCGTAACCCAAAGACTGCTTTATTTATGTTTCCCTTCCTCCGAGGGCCAGTATTTAAGCCTTACAGCAATTCTGTGAAGACAGTCTGAGAAAGAGATAGAGACTGACCATCCAAGGTCAGCCTCTGATTAAGTGAGGAAGAATGTTAACTTCCATTTCTCACATAACTCCCTAACAGAAGTCTCATTGAAAGCAGTGGGACTTAACATGAATAGGATCACATTGCACAGCACTTTACCTTATTCTCTCAGTTTAATGAATATGCAATTTAGATTCAGGCCCAACTAAATGGTCTAAGGCAAGTCTTTCTCTGAGGCTATAGTTGTCAGCTTATACTTGTGTATGACTTCTCAACGTCTAACACAAGGATGTTTGTTGCACACAAGCTGAAATGTGTTGAGGTCTGATAGTAATGTACAACATACCATTTCATTACTATATTACTAACTTCGTTTTGCATTGGAGGAGCACTGAAATAGATCTGATGACAGCACAGCAAATTTTGAACTGCAGGCTCATTATGACAGTACCTATAGCCACACCCTCCAATTTAAGCCCCTTTGTTGATTCATAGCAATTATGATTTATAATATGAATCATACGCTTTACAGAAATGCTATTCATAGCTTAGTCCAGGAATGAGGAACATCTAGACATTACTGAACACCAGCCTCCATCAGTCCCAGCCAGTATGGCCAAAGATCAGGGATGATAAGGGTTCTTCAACAACACCTGAAGATCCATCACAGGTTCTTCAGCCCTGCTGTAATCCAAAAACTGCTGATGAACTATGGCAGTGATGGTAAATTGTGTGCACTGATAGGAGTTTTTAAAATCAGTCCAACATTCTGGAAGCATCTCTTGCTCTTTGACTTCATGGGATATTTATTCCTTCCTGTTTGCAAAAATATACCCAGTAACTTCCCAGAAAGCAGTGTCCTCTCCCCAAATTCCAACACTCCGGGCAAGAAGCAAAGCAGGCCTCATCTGAAGATCGGTAAAAGCAGGGAAGAGGCGTCATATTTATCCATTCGGAAATTTCTGCTTGTGAGTAACATACGGAGCCTATTTAGGAGCTTGCTCTTAGCATACAGGTGTCTTGAGATACAATCCTATGCATGCCATATGGGTAGTAACTGAAAAACTCTCAGCATTCTCCATGCAGCACTGGGATCTAGGACCTCAGGAACAGCCTCTTGTGTTACCAAGCCATTGCAAACCCATTGATCAGCAGGAGATGCTCTGCTTGCTGTCCCCTCCCTAAATGAGACAAGGAGGGTAGAAATAAAAGCTAAGGAATTCTCAGTGATATCCCTATTGTGGAAGTCCTTCCCAAGAGAGATGTGTTAGTCTTCATTATAAATACTTTTAAATGTTAGGTAAATAACTTTTTATTTACAAAAAAGATTTGCATTCCGACTTTCTTGGTTTTTGGTTTAGATTATTATTATTATATTTTAATTTTTGTTGCAATAAAAGGGATTTTATTGTTTTAGTAATGGTTCATCTATCTCATCTTTTGGAGCAAGGTTGTGATACGAATTTTTAAATAAATAACTATTTTGAGAGTTGATTAAGAAAGCACCTATATATCTTAATATAGAATGAAGTTTCCTTCCACTATTTCTAAAGTTAGGAAAACATTGATCTACAGAATAATTTCTTGCCAGAACCACATGCCGCTCAACTTATACCCTTGTTTCTAACTCAAGTAGACATGAAAAAATCTATTTCTTATACTCCTCTTTATCCTGTGTCATTCTAGCATTTCTTATGAGAAGAGGATACAGTATCAGCGCAAATCTGACTGTGAACTAGAGGGGAAGAGAACAAGCCCATGAACATCATGTGCTCTCAAGTTCTACAACCATCAACACCACTCGCTTATAGAAAATGCTGCTTGCCCATCAGCCATTGCAAGCATTTGTTTCTCTGTTCTGTGTATGGGTAGTAACTGAAAAACTCCAGTAGAAAATACATGCTTTTCTGAAATCTAAGAAGAGCTACACTTGCTACCTTATAGGTGCTTTCATCTTAGAAGAAAAAGTTGCAGAGGGAAAGCAAACCTGTTCCTTTCTGCATCACTGTTCTGGTGCACCAATGCAGTAGCAAACTATTCTGCAAATCCAGTCGGTTGATTTATATTATCTTGCATTCCAGCATTCCATGGCCAGTTAGAGCATGCCCTCAGTATTCACCAAAATCTGGCATGTTGTCAGCTGCTTTATTTCTTGCACACTTGCCAAAGGCTTACCCTTTTGGGAGACTATTTGCTCTGGGAATTGTTGCCTCATCATAGCTCTGGCAATCCAAATGGAGTAAACAAAAATGAATTCCTCCACTGCAGGATCAAGAGAATTCCGTGACGAAAGAATTCCACCTCAGTGAGGGGTTTTATTTTAATTTTCCCTCACCTTTCCTCAGGATGCCAAATGCAACCCTGTACTTTGGATATTGTTACCACACGTGCAAAATAATATACATACATCATGCATCACTCATCAGTTTCCAAAGGAATGGCCTTGCTAGCTGCCATTCTGATTTCTTAATGGAATACACTTCTGTATGGTTCTCTAGAAAGGCCTTATTTCATAGTTCTGACAACATATTTAACCCAGAATAACTACCAGTCCCTATGTCTACAACCACAACTATTTTTAGTTCTGTCCACCGTGGCATACCACAGGATTGCCAGTGCAATATGGCCTATGTCTACTCCGCAGCAACTCCCACTGAGTTCAACGGGACTCACTCCAAGGCAGTCTGCAGAGTCAGCTGCAGCCAAGGGCTCCCATGCCAGCAAAGTGGGGGTCAGAGGCAAAGTGGTGGATCAGTGGTGATCCTATTCACCACTGTAAGCAGTGCGTTCATCTTTCTTCCTCTCATTCTGGCCCAGACAACAGTGGTGATTACGGGGACCCTGCCTGGTTCTCTGCCTGGCAAGCAAACGGGTGATGGCAATGAAGGAGGGTGAGGAAAAGCAGCAGCAGCTGCTGGTAGCGGTGGAAATGGAGATGGAAGAGTAGCCTCGGGAAGGGATAGAGCCCCCTAATGCCAGGAGAGAGGGAGCCCAAAACCTGGGCCAGCACTGCCCCCAACCAAATGAATCCATGCTTTCAACGTTAGCCTTCGACCTTACACACACTTACCTGGGAGTCAGTCCCATTGAAGTGAGTGGAGCTGACTTCTGAGTAGGCATCGACAGCACTGCGAGACCTACTTCTCAATAGACATGTATCAGATCGCGCTGGTGAACACTCTAAGAGATTAGATGCTCCGTACTGGGATGCTAGAACTCGCTGAGCTGGAGTTTACACCCGGCTCCTCCAACACTGCCCTCCCGTCCTTCCCCACCAGGCGTCCCCTCCTACCCACCGCCCCTTCATGCTCCCCGAAGGGAGGGGGAAAGAGAAGAGGGCAGAAGGAAAGGCGGCGCCGAGCGCACGGGCCGGACGGAAGCCTCTAGAAGCACGACCGGAGAGGGGCAGGCGAATTGCCTCGTTTGCGTGCCGGCTTCTCTTACCTGCCGTGAGCGCAGCGGCCGCCACCACGCAAGAGAGCAGCAATGAGGGCAGCGCGGCGCGCATAGAGAGCAGCGGCGGGGCGGGGCGGAAAGGCGAGCAGCAGAGAAGACAGAAGCCCAAGTCGCAGCCTGCGCCGCCGCCGCCGCGTCCGGCCAAAAGCTCTGTCCGCCCCAGCGCGGTCCAGCGAAATGACAGGCCCCGCAGTCTCTCCAAGAGGCATGACGGGAAATTCCTGGGCACCAGCTGTCCAGGCAGCTCCAAATATGAGCATAGAGTGAATGCAAGCGGGTTCCGCCGGCTTCGCTCTTGCCCTTCTCCCAGCCAGCCAAAGACTCCCCAAACCGTTACTCGTCCTTACTGGGTTTTAAGGCAGACCACCGCATCCAGTCTTCTTGATCCCGAATTGTGAAGGGATTAGTCTGGCTGCAGATTGAATCATACTGGATGCAAACCTAGTGGAATCAGTGGGACGGTAGCAAGTCCTGTTAAGGTCATCCAAAACTAGTCAAGCCTCATTCATTCCAAAAGGTCTAGTCGATCAGGGATAAAACGCCTTGATTTCAGTAGGACTATTTTTAGATGTGACTTGAGTTGTTTCCAGATGTTTTTATTCTGCAATCCTAATGAAAGAGAAGCTATACAATGCTTTTTGATTCATAGTGTTAAGACCCCTCCATCTGAAAGAACCCAAGATTAGAACTAAACCACAAAATCCTAGTACCTAACATGATCAGGCCAAGGTTTCTGTGGTCTATTGTTCTTTTTCCAGGATGGTAACTAGGCTGATGTTTCTAAGAGTTCACAGGCAGGGCCTTATGACCACTACATACATCCTATTGTCTGCCCCCACACTCCAGTTCAAGCCTTCCCCAACCTAGTACCCCCCAGCTGTGTTGGATAGCATCTCCTGTAAACTGGAGCTTTCCATGGTGGGGAAGGCTAATTTTATATGTGCCTATACGTTGCCTCCACAATGTTCTGTGTAATCCTTGCCTTAAACACCCTTTTGAAGGTGCATGTGTTGAGGGGTGGGAAAAGTGTTCATTAGTATCTGAAAACTGTTACCAAGTAACAGTTGGAGGCAGAGAAGAGATTCCAACAGGTTCAGATTGCTACTCAATAAAAAGATTTTAAAGGTCAAACTGTTACTTGATTGCTCTTTATTGAAAGAAAAAATATTTGGTCCTTGCAACATTTTAAAGACCAGCTTCTAATATGTTCTTCTGTAGACCAGATGCTGAAATAAATTAAATACCCAGATACCAAAAGACTATACAAGCCAATGGTCTACACATTCATTATAAAGCCTAATAGGCAAAATAAAATATACCACTAGATTTCACCAAGCCAGATCAAATTCCTGTTTACTGTTTTCTGGTGCCCGAGTCTGTACACTACCAGATATAGTGAATTGTAGCTTATGAAAGGCTACATTGGTTTTTTTTAAACACTACATGGTAACAACCACTAAAGCATGATCAAGTTTTGAACATTAATAACAATATGATGAGCTTGATCCAGAGTTACGAACACTGGGATTAGTCAGGGTGGTCCAACATTTCATACCTCAAGGGCTGCATAAGAACTTCAACATGGACTCCAAGGACTGCACAATGAATGACATTTCCATTACAGTGTTTGCAATATATTAATATACACAATATATTTAACCATTGAGAGGGAGAAAACTGATGAAGTCTCAGAATTGGCTTGAAAACCCTTTGTGGGCCTGTGATCACAGCCCGCCCCTTCTCCGACCACAGCCCAAGCACAATGACCACTCCTCTGGGGTGGCCCAACTCTTTCTTCCTTGCTTCTACCACCCATGGGACCCCCAGGCTCCTTCTTGGAATTGGCACACTGAGCCTTTTGTACATGAGCCAACAAATGCTTCCCAGCATGTTCCACCTCCTCCAGCTGACAGGCAAGCTCTTGTCAGTCCAACTTGCTTTCTTCCTGAGCCTCAGGAGGGGAGTGAGCTTGCTGCAATCATCCCCATGCCATTACTGGAATCCAGACTGAGGGGAAGCGGGGGGGGGGGCACTCCTAGTGGCAAGAGGGCCACAGAACAAGGCCTCAGGGAACACATTCAGTCCATGGGCCATGTGTTAGACCATCCTGTGCTAGACGTTTAGTCATTACTTCCTTGCCTCAATGAGTTCAATGGTCTGCTCTAGGCATGACAGACTGGATCCAGCCTAGTAAGTTTTTCAAATGGCTGTAGGTGTACATTGTATTTCCCACTTGTCCGTATCTTTACAAAAGCTGCTAATAAAATGGGAAGTTTTGGACCAAGTAGACAATCATTATTTTAGTTAGTGCTGAAGGTAGTTTGTGCAAGGTCATTGCTTGAAGTCTACACATTTACCTCATTCTGTTTCTAATAAATAGGAGAAATAGAAGATATTGTGAAGTTGTATTTTCCGCTATACAAGAACTTTAAACAAAATTAATATGGCTAGAATGAAATGGGAGCCTAATAGCAATCCATTAAGTGTACCAATGTTATTGTCCTAAGTCTGGATACCAATGTAAGGGAGTCGTGTATCATCCAACTTTTCAAAGCTGTTTACTGACATGCCTTAGAAGATGCAGACAGACTAGTAAGAAATTGGTGGCATGGAAAATATTAATTTTGTCACATAGCATGTTTGTGTGCTGCAGCCTTCAAGAAATCTCTTTTCTTTCATTTCTCCAAACCCTCAAAAAGATGGAAGCTATATGTTAAAGCTGCCATGATTCCCAGATATTCAAAGATCTAAAAACACTCACACATTTGTAAAAAGCCCTAATAAATCTTTAATTAGTTTTGTTTCGCTTTTGTGTTTTTACAGGACAATTGACAAATTACAAACATCTGATTTTCTCAAATGTCCCAGTTATTATACACATTCCCATCTGTCTTGCAGGGAGGAATATTGGTCAACATTTTAAAGGTAAAATAAGCTGCATAATAATCCAGATTACTATAATAAATGTACAGTGTTTACAAATAGTTTAGAAGCAAGAAAGATGCATCTGCATCAAAAGGCAACCTTTTAAACTGCCACAACTAAATTTTACATTCACACTTGCAACAGGTCACAAGATGGTTACTAAGATCAGGTCAATAAATCACTATGAGGCACAAACACAACAAAATCTGAATATATACATATAAATACATATACATGTATATTGTACATATTTGTATATGTATGTTGTAAATCTCAAGAAAAATCTACCAGACTTGACAAAATCTACTTGCTTGTCAAAAATATGTACTTGTTCTTGGTAAGTAGAATTTTGCTTGACTGATTACATATAATAGTTTGTTAGCATCCAGGACATAAAACAGACTAAGGTTTTTTCTAGATAAGAAACCGTCCATTATTAAACATGTTGCCCACACACACAAAAAAAGCACAAAGGTAAGGCACAATAGGATTTTCCATTACATAAGTGTGCATCATGTTCACTTAACCATATGAAAACGTGCATTTTTTGTGCAAGTTCATGCTGCAGATCCGTATCTACAATAAAACTGGGCTTTAATAAATGTATTTTAAACTGGTTGGTTTCCCATCTCTTCACTTAGCAATATCCAGCTGGATTGACAAATTATGCTGCTTCAAAAAGATTTATCATATCTAATTTTTTATACTTTCAGCTAAACTTCAGCAATTTTGCAGTTTTAGGTGTAAACAACGCACACATTTAAGATTGAACAAACACAACTCTTCATGTAAATGTACTGCATTTCTAAGCTCTAACCATCAAGATTTTGCATCCAAAATATGTGCATCTTTTTAGTTTTACACATCTTTAGGTAGCAAAACCATATAGGAAAGTATATTCCCCAGTGGTACATTGCCAGAGCTTTCCTTTTGTAATAAATAAATTTTCACAAAGTGTTTGAGTACCTGCCAATTGCTTCTTTATTGCTCACATAATTTTGAATCCATTATCACAGTTACAATATCAGACCATTCACACAAAAATCATAACCATATATTTTAATATAAAACCTATAAAAGATAATTTGCATCTAATACTTCAAGGTGTTTGTCCTTTATGTAATGGTACAGTCAAAATATATAAAACATTAGGTTATGAATAAAATAGGAAGCTTATTCACTGCTTTAATGCAGACATCCTCACAAAACAAGAATATTTTGCTGCCGCCACCACTGCCACCAGCACCACCTACATTTATATACAAAACCAGTACATCTGCATTCAGTTGGTTTTCCCACTATGGCAAAATTTATTTTCCATTCCTAAGCTGACACAGATGAAGCTTTAACAGCAACAGAAACCAAAGACCTGACAGAAACAAATACTTCTACTCACTTTCCATCAGAAACTGTAGGTGGTTTTGTTACAAAATACCCACAAGATTATTTCACAGGAAACTATGGAAATACAGTACATCTCCATGCTTTTAAACTGTTATCAAACACTTTGTTGGTGCAAAAATACAGCTACATCTGAGAATGCTTAATAAATTCAACATTTGTCATGCAAAACTTAATGTGTTGGCTTGCTTGAGCTCCAAAAACTTCATAGAGCAATTGTTCTTTTATTTCAGTACTACTGCCTCATTGTTCAGATATCCTGAAAATGAGACCACTGGAACGCTGATTAATGAAAATGTTAACATACAAAAAAGTACTAAAAATGGAAGACAGAGCCAGACAGGAAATGTTCCTGCGGCAAGTCAACAGTTCTAGTAGCAGTCAAATGTCTCAGGAGTTACCCTGAGAGTTAGTTGTGCCTGTCCGGAGACGAAGATGTGACATTGAGTTCATATGTGTATTTGATGGCTTCAGTGGAGCATTGCAAGTGATAGCCTGGGGGAAACGATGATGATATCGATCTAGTCGAAGATATTTTACTGTTACCAGTTTGCCTGTAGTAAAGTGCAATTTCAATAGGTTAAGGCTTTGATTTTTTTTTTAGACCAACCTACTCACATTTAGAAGTATGATAAAAATATTTTAGTTTCAATAATAGTTTATCTGGAAGTTAGCTATTCTTATTGTTAGGCAGATGCACTGTCAGTTACTACCAATCTCTTGAATTATTTGTAAATTTAAACTTACCATCAAACCAAGACCCATGTAATGCTTTAAAAGCCTTCCCAGCATATTCTGGAGACAAACACTTGACATAAACACAGCCCTGAGGGGGGAAAAATCTTTGATTTAGATCTTACAAGTCAATTGAGCATATGCATTATCTGCTATAAATAAATGTTTACCTCTCGTGAATTTTTGTCCACTGCTATATGGACAATTCCCTCATTATCACTGCACTTTTCCAAGATTGCTTCTTGAATTGCCAAATGCCAGTGATCACCTATTTCCCTAAGATAAAACATACATTATCAATATTTTGAGGGGGTTGTTCAAAAATACAAAAGCAGTCTAAATTAGGAAACACATATACTCAAGTTTTAAACAACTATATACTTGAATTTTAGTTAAACTTCAGGGACCATGGCTCTGCAAGTTCCAATCAGGACCTTGGAAAGCCACTGTAAGTCAAAACAGATAACATTGGACTAGAAGGACTTCTATATTCTTCACTGGACTAGAAGAAGAATACCAGCCAAATTCCAGTACCATGTCACTGACATCCAGGACTGCCAAAAGCCAAGCTTGCAGGACATAAAATGAGGTCAAGCTGCATGCACTGGGGACTAGAGAAATGTTCACAAAGACAAATATAGAAAAAAGTGACAGCGTGAATGCAGGGGTGCCCAACAAGATGGCTGTGAGAACCTCAATACTGCCTATGAAGCTCTTCCACTCCCTTCCTCTACCTCTCATTATCTTTCTCCCATCAACCCGTTACATTGCTATTTGTCCTCTCAAACCCTTTGCCTTGCTATTACTTCTTCCCTTACAGTCCCTAGCTTCATTTGTCTCTTTTCCTAGCCTCTTTCCTGCTAGTTCTCCCCACAGCCTAGAAACTTGCTCCTTCTTTTGCCAATTCCTTTCCATCCCAGTCTCTTGTTCTTTCTATCCCTCTTTCCCATTTATCTTGCTATTCTTCCTCCTCCCAGTCTTGATTTTCCCTTTCCATCTCCCCACTCCCCAGAGAAGTGCATCTTTTCAGGATAGAACATGGAGAAAGAAAGGCTGAGCTGAGGCTGAAGTCAAGGTTGAGAAAACGTTTTCTTTCTCTGAGGACTGACTGGGGGGCAGGGGAGGCTCCTTCCTTTGGGGATAGATTGGATTTGGAATTCAGATCCCTCTTCTTCTACTAAGTTTCTTAGATCAATTTTTTGTCTTCTGACTAGACAGGCCTGCATGGAAGCCATTAGGTGGCTAGCCATGTTCTATAACGTGGTATCCACAAATGCACAGAAGTGCCCACTGATCCAAAAAAGGCTGGATAGTGTGTTCATAAAAACTACAACAGGGTACCTACCTGCTTTTCAACCCACATAAGAGACATTCCTTTCAGGTTCCTTATACATTGAAACTCTTTATACAAGGAACTGTTCCTTCATGTAGGCAAGAGGACCCTGAACCAGGGGAATCAGCCTACAAGGGCTGTATTTGAGTTTTTCTATTTCTTATTTATTCTAGATAGATGAATGCAAACTACTAAAAGGAAATTCTATTCTACAATTCCTTTTCCAGCCATCTAATGCCACTATCCTATGTTCGAAGGTCTTCAGAATTCTCTCCTTGTACTTCTATAGCGCCTGAACATGGTATGCAAAATCAAGAGAAAAAGTACACTTACATAACTGGATCAAACATATTGCGAATTTTCAAGCATGGTGTCAAACTGTTTGGTGGCGAATTTCTTCTATCTAAATGAAATGCTACCAAGAAAAAAAGTAGATGGGAGTATCCATTTAGCAAATAGGCAGAATGCAGCTATTAGAATGTTCAATGAGACACCTATGCTGACACAAAACAAAACTCACAAAGAAAAAACCCTGCACTGGCTATGCATTACCTACCAAGCCACGTTCAAAGTTATGTTGTTGAAATACAAAACCCAAAACCCTAGCAGACCATGGTCCCCTTTATATAACGGAGTATCTTCAAAGGAGTTGGTCATTCAACAAGCAACAGAATGCTAGATATAATGCCATATAATGTCTCAAAAGAGGGCTTTCTTAGTGGTGGCATTTACCCTTTGCAAAATGCACCCTCATGCAATTTGGGAGGTAGAACATATTGTACATTTTAAGCACTTCCTGAAAATGCATTTGTTTACCCAGGTGATCTGAAATATGAGTATCTGTGATGAATCAAATGCTGCTGCAGTTTATTGTTCCCTGTATTATTCTTTGTTGTTATAGTTTGAGATGCTCTTTAGTTTATTTATAAATGACATAGGAATTGCTTGGAGATGGTTTATATTCAGCACATATAAGTATTACTGGTGCTCCTGTCGAGGCTCTGGTCGAACTGTGGAACGGAGAGATGACCAGGGCTGTGGACACAATCGCTCCCAAGCGTCCTCTCCCACCGGGCAGAGTCCGCTCTTCCCCTTGGTATACACCTGAATTACGGGCGATGAAGCGAGTTGGGAGACGGCTAGAGCGTAGGTGGAGGAAATCACGGGATGAATCTGACCGAACACACTTGAGAGCCCACTATCGGGCCTATGCTGTGGCAGTGAAGGCGGCGAAAAAGAAGTTTTTTTCTGCTTCCATTGCCTCCTCACAATGCCGTCCAGCGGAGCTTTTTCGAGTGGTGCAAGGCCTGGTTCGCCTGGGTCCTAAGGAAGATCCGATGCCACCCTCAAAGGCCCGCTGTGACGACTTTGCCAGGCATTTCAGGGAGAAAATCGCTCAGATTCGTCACGAGCTGGACTCCACTAATGAATCAGAGGTCTCTGAGGAGTCGCCAATGCCACCGTCTGGTCCAAAATTACTGGAGGAATTTCAATTAATGCGGCCCAATGATGTGGACAAGGTGCTTGGAAGAGTACGTCCCACCACGTGCCTATTGGATCCTTGCCCGTCTTGGTTAATAAATAACTCCAAGCACGGGATTGGGACCTGGATTTTGGAAGTGGTTAACGCTTCTCTGAGGGAGGGTCGAGTGCCTGCCCCTTTAAAGGAGGCGGTAATACGACCGGTCCTGAAGAAAGCGTCACTGGATCCAGAGATGGCCACTAACTATAGACCTGTGGCCAACATCCCGTTTCTGGGCAAGGTGCTGGAGCGAGTGGTGGCGGGACAACTCCAAGCACTCTTGGAGGAAACTGATTATCTGGATCCTTTTCAGTCCGGCTTCAGACCCGGGTACAGTACTGAATCTGCCTTGGTCGCCCTGTACGACGACCTGTGCAGGGAGAAGGACAGGGGGAGTACATCCCTGTTGGTTCTTCTGGACCTCTCGGCGGCTTTCGATACCATCGACCATGGTATCCTTCTGGATAGACTTGCGGGATTGGGGGTTGGAGGCACTGCTTTGCAGTGGTTCCGCTCCTATCTCGACGGTCGATTCCAGAAGGTAGTGCTGGGGGACCATGTCTCTACGTCGTGGCAGCTATGCCATGGGGTACCACAGGGCTCCATTCTATCCCCTCTGCTATTTAACATCTATATGAAACCGCTGGGAGAGGTCATCAGGAGGTGTGGGCTGCGGAATCATCAATACGCTGATGATACCCAGCTTTACCTCTCATTCTCCACTAATCCAGGTGAGGCAGTGGCTGTGCTGAACCGGTGCTTGGCCGAGGTAAGGGAATGGATGAGGGCCAATAAACTGAAACTCAACCCAGACAAGACGGAGGTCCTGTTGGTTGGCGGATCGGGTTTCGGAGAGGGTGGATTTGACCTGGTCCTGAATGGTGCAACACTCCCTCTTAGGGATAAGGTCCGCAGCTTAGGTGTACTCCTCGACCCGGAGCTTTCTTTGGAAGCTCAGGTGACAGCGGTAGCGAGGAACGCCTTCCTTCAGCTTCGGCTGATTAATCAGCTGCGCCCCTACCTGGAATACGACTGCCTGGCGACGGTGACACACGCGCTGGTGACTTCCCGCCTAGACTTCTGTAACGCGCTTTACGTGGGGCTTCCCCTGAAGACAGTCCGAACACTTCAATTGGTGCAAAATAGAGCTGCTGACGGGGACGGGGCGTTATGCTCACATGACTCCAGTCCTCCATCAGCTTCACTGGCTTCCCATTGAAGCCCGGGCCCAATTCAAGGTGTTGATTATGACCTACAAAGCCCTAAACGGCTTGGGTCCTGGCTACCTGAACGAGCGCTTACGTCCGTATATGCCCGACCGCCCTTTGAGATCTGCGGGAGAGTCCCTTCTCCGGGAACCCTCCATGAAAGAAATTAGGAGAGTAAGTACCCGGAGGAGGGCTTTCTCTGCGGTGGCGCCCAACCTATGGAATTCACTCCCCAAAGAGGTCCGCCTGGCACCGTCGTTACTGGTTTTTCGGCGCCAGGTAAAGACCTTTTTATTTAAACATCATTTCAATTGTTAAAACATATGATCTGGCCTGGGCAACTTCTTCTTCCTTCTCTTTCTCCTCCTATATTTTTATTTTATACTGATAATTTTAATTTTGTATTTGTAAATCAATGTATTTTCTGTATTGTTATATTTAATGGTAATTTTATTATGTACTATTGTATTTCAATGTATTTTATCATGTTGTAAGCCGCCCCGAGGTTTCGGCAAGGGGCGGCATAGAAATGTTATAATAATAATAATAAAAAATAATAATTACTAAATAAAATTAGCATTCATGCAGGCAAATTTGAAATTTCTCAGCAGATCACAGCCCAAATTTATTGTTTTGACAAGAAAATCTGCATCCTACAAGAGTGGCTGATAACAGACTGCAACACTGTTGTGCCAGGACATCCTGGCACAATTATCACTCACCACTGTTGCAGATAGCAACTATAGCTGCTCTTTCCTAAGGCTGAACAATTTACTAGGAAAGGATGGACTTCAGAGGACCTGGTTAACATTTCACAGTCAGGGAGTCCTATTCATGGTTCTTTTCAAATTCCAACTACAATTAAGTGTATTAATCTTATTAAATGTAGATCATAGGAAAAGCTATGTTTCACAAAGTATAACTAAACTATTGCATACCTTGGCCTTGCCATACTTTCGATGGTATGACTAATGTTTTATCACAAGATGCAGATGGCTGCAACCACCTCCAAACCAGGAAGTCAGCACCACCTATCCTTTGTGTTTCTGTACGGACTCTAGATTCATTAGCAGCAAGGAAATCAACAGCTCTATTCCACACCTTCTTCATTTTTTTCCTTAAATACAAAGGAAAAATAATTCTTAAAAGTTTAACCAAATTACTTATCAGACAGCTAAGGTGTTAAAAGCCTTGCACATCCTGCACTTGAAATCAAAACTGCATCTTTAAGAACCTCAGTATAAAGTGATACAGCTACTGTGTGTAACTATTTGCACCTACCTGTCTTGAGGCAGAATCAAAGAATCTCGTACATGGGGAACAGGCATGTATGGCTGTAAGTCTTTGTTTTCCTGACATGCTTCATTGTGGGTTTTTAAAACATCTGAAAGCATTTCAGTGAATTAATTATACTGTAAATCAAACTGAATAAATCATGTTTAAAATCCAATGAAAAGTATTTAACAACAGTGAGACCAGTACATTTCCTGTGACAGAGTCAAGACTGGGAACTCTTAATAAACAAAGGAACAGAGTATGTAGTATCCACGAGTGTGCGATGAATAATTACTGACAGCCTAGGCTTTAAAACAAAATCCTGCAGTGCTTTCTCCCCATGACCCCATTATGAATTCCATCACAGTCAGTTACTCAGTCTTCAGGCTATTTCTCCATGTACATTGCAGCAAAACAGAAATCAGAATAAATTATTCAGGAATTTGACAGAAGGAAATATTCTCAGTTTTTCCTGTTTGAATACCTTGAATAATTCCTCAACACAAACTGCAAATGATGCAGGTTCATGTGTGGACAAGACACTGTCAACGTGCACTCTGGCTTAGCATTACATTCACAAAGTTTAAGATGATCAGCTCCCTACCCCCTCTTCCTTCCCTTGTGAAAAGGAGACCTGAAGGTTTTGTGCCAGTTTTTACCTAACTGCAGTTTTATCATCATGCCCAAACCTGGACAAGGTGAAGTTGGGTCTTAACTATGGTTTTTGAAAGAAGCCAGCTTCAAACTGTAGTTTATGACATTGGCTTGTTTCCCCAAAACCATAATTGGGGAGTGCTCCTCGACCCGGAGCTGCCCTTGGAAACTCAAGTGACAGCTGTGGCAAGGAGCACTTTCCTTCAGCTTCGGCTAATCTATCAGCTGCGTCCCTACCTGGAGGAAGATTGCCTAGCAACAGTAACACACGCATTGGTTACTTCCCGGTTGGATTTCTGTAACGCGCTTTACGTGGGGCTGCCCTTGAAGACAGTCCAGATACTTCAGATGGTTCAAAATAGAGCTGCCAGGATGCTGTCGGGGACTGGGTGTTATTCTCATATAACCCCAGTCCTCTATCAGCTCCAGTGGCTTCCCATCGAAGTCCGGGCTCAATTCAAGGTGCTGGTTATTACCTATAAAGCCCTAAACAGCTTGGGACCAGGATACCTTAAGGAACACCTTTTTCCCTATTTGCCCTCTCGCCCCCTGAGATCAGCAACAGAAGCCCTCTTCCGGGAACCCTCTGTGAAAGATATTAGGAGACAGAGTACCTGGAGGAGGGCCTTCTCTGTGGTGGCGCCCCGTCTATGGAATGCACTCCCCAGAGAGGTCTGCCTGGCACCGTCATTATATGTTTTTCAGTGCCAGGTTAAGACCTTTTTATTTAATCAATATTTTAATAAGTTTTAATATTGAATTATATTTTATTAATTGCAGCCAGAGTGGGTCGTCAATTTATTTATGCTGTTAGCCGTCCAGAGACGTTAGTAATTGGACAGCATACAAATTTTATATATAAATAAATAAGCTTAATTAGTTTAGACTTCAGACACAATAAACTGCAGTTTAATTGAAAAGGAATTAAAAGCTTCAGATAGCCTTCTTTTAGCCATGACAGAGGAAAAGGGAAAGAACATCAGCCTGAGGCTCAAGCATACAGCAATAAACAATAGTTCAGCATTTTATCCAAGCCGGCCAACTGTGTCATGAAAGTTTACCTAAAACTTACCTATAATTTTTATAACCATATCATACATCTGTCTGGTCTCTTCTTCTTCCTTAGACCACCAATATTTCATATATTTAAAGACACCCCAGATGATTCCTACACCTGTGACATACAGAATGAATTAGTCCAACATTCCAAATTTTATACAGATCACTAGTTTGCTTAGAGGTTTAAAAATATTTTACATTCAACAAAAAAGTAGCATTTAGGAGGAATGAGATGTGACATTTGAACAATCACTGTTGAGTGCCATTGATATCATCAATCTCTAGGTGCAGCTTGTTGTGTCACCTAAACTCAACATATATTTTTGAAAGGGGAACAATCCTAAAATAACCCTCCTCCAAAAAAAAAATTACTTAAGAACTGTTTGTCATCCAACAAGCCATGTTACCAAGGTTTGGATGATATGCCAAGCTGTGCCTCAGCAGATGATTAAGCAAAAACCACCGTTCCTTAAACAAGCCATTTGATTGTGCAAATCAGGTCAATGTAAGCACACTGGTTCTTTCAATACATGAGCTTTCCCCCACTATTAATACTTTTGGGAAGTGCAGAGGAATAATTTTCATGAAACTGTTCACACAGTAATCCTGATCTATACAAGCTGCAAGTTCCTGTAGAACTTTTAGTGTCTTTTTAATGATACAGATTAAAAGATACTTCCAAGTCATCTCTTTGTAAGCACAGGAAAGGCTGCTTTTGCACTAACAGCATTTTGATGTGGTTTGAGAAAATGATTCCCTATTTCCTCTTCTTTCTGGTGGGTCAGTCTATTATGAAATATATTGCACAGCCTTAACTACTCATTTTTTACACAGTAAAAATACTTACCTAAAAGCAGAATTAATGATCTACATGTTACAGTAATAAATGCACGACGAAAACGACATGTAAAAGACATCTGTGGCCTAGTTGATATTAGGTATTTTACATCAGCTGTACTGGTCATGGATTCTTCATCCAAGCTATGTCCAATGCACCTGTTTAAAAAAAATCTCTTTTTTAAATATGAGAACTAGGACTCAGACCACTAATGCACCACAGACCCAATGCACTCCTTCCTTCCCTCTTCTGTTGCTAATCAGGCAAGACAGCAAACTACTCAAATAAAAATAAGCTTTACCACAATCCTCAAAACAATGATTAGAAAGATTATCTGAATTAAGCTTTTATGCAAAAAGAGCAGACTATGAAATATAAGTACTTACTTTATACCAACATCTTCTCCACTATTTAGAATCCATTGCAGGGATTTGTTAAGCTCCTTTTCATATTCTGGACCCAAACTCTACGAGAAGCAAGGAAAATATTGAAAAAATAAAGCTGACATTGGTTTCCCTAATTAAACCATCATTTTCCAAAGGGCCAATGCTGTGTGTTCTTGCAAGAGAAATCTACTCCACCCCTAAAAATATATGCTACGAATATGTAACAAAATAATTCAGTCTCATAAAACATATCAGCACTCAGTAAAACAGTATGTTTTCTGTGAATTATCCTCTAACATAAGGGAACAACAAAACTAACCATTTTATTTATAAAGTTCAGTGTATCAGCACTAAATTCTGCTGAAATGTTTAGGACCAGGGCATTAAAGAGGGAAATTAATGAAATATTTGTTTGTACCAATCTTGCATGAACATACAATGTACTTTTTGCTATATGTCCATTCAATCCACCTGATGGACATAGCTACCTGATGGTCATGCCCTCAGTAGTGACTTTATTCAAACCAACTGCCATTGGGCTCCTCCTCTTTGGAACATATTCCCCTGAGCAGCTATTCCAATGCTCTGGTTGTCAAATATTTTAACTATGAATGTGCATGTACCTTCTTCCCTGCACCAGCCTTTCTTCCTTGTGTGTCATATTGATTAGCTTAGTAAGCCATTCCAGAAGCAAACTGTCTCTTTTGATTCTCTTGAGCACCTACTAGAAAATCTAAGTGCTAACAGCAGCTTCTCAAATAAATTCAACCACATCCAAAGCAATGAATGCTGCTTCTACCAACCTACTTTACTTAACACAGAAAAGGTTTATGACATTTATGCATATCAGAAAAGAAGAGCAGAAATCAAATACGATTTCTGTAATAAACACAGTGAAATAAACAGATGAATTTGTACTGCAGTACAAGATGACAAGACATTATTTCCAATGCTGTACCTAATTTTTCTGAAATGAGCATTGCTCAAGGCACAAGGTGGTGCTAGAGAGGTTGATGGTAAAAATCACTTTCACTTTTCTGTCCAATTTTCATGTCTGTCTGCTGCCAGTATTCCCTTAATCTGCTCCTGCTTAGAGAGGGATAGAAAGAACCTGTTCTTGTTCCTAAGGTAATGCCCTCTTACACTGGTATACCCATCCATATCTTCAACCCACTAGAAAAAATGCAATGCAGGAAATGACTGCATTTGTCAATTTTTGCTATTTAGAACATAGACTTCAAGTTCTGTGTTTGAACTGCTGAAATAAAGTCATTCCCACCTATAATCATTTGTCTGTATTTTCTACTCTATATCTCTCTCCTAGTTTCAGTCCCCCTTTTATTAATTAAAATCAGTGCTGTATACTGTACACCGAACATACATTTTCAAAGGAAAATACATTTCCCATTTAACAATACCCCTTGAAGGACCAAAAAGAACTTAGCTTTGAGACAGTGATGTAGGGTAGAAAATTTTTCATGGAAAAATAAAGCATCATAAAATTTTCTACATCATATATGTCTGGAAGACAGAGATAGGTCCATAGTTGTCTGAGCTTTTGAACTGCAATAAATCGTATTACATGGAATAAATGTAGAACATGAACTTCTATAAGTTATTCTTCAAAGGCAAGTACTGAGAAACCCTAGCGCTCAGTTGCCCATGGAAAAATGGAAATAAGGTATGACAGCCACTTCCTATGCACACTGCAGTTGGCTGGGTTGGTACTGGATTTATAAATTTTCTATTTGCCCTCTAACATTCTTCAACTGAATGGAAACTGAAACAAAGCCTTTGATTACTGTTTGTTTCACAGGAAAGTAAGAATATACAAAGAGGCTTGCTGGATCAGGCCAAAGGTTCATCTAGTCCAGCATTCTGTTCAAACAGTGGCCAATCAGCTGCCACAGTATCCCACATGCAGATAATAAGTTTAGGAACTGGCTAAGTTTCCCAGCCTACACCCACAGATCCACAGCTATTCTTTAATAAAACAATGTTAGCTAGTTGTTCTGAATCAGATTTTTCCCTAATATGAAATGGAACCAATCAGCAGTGTAGAGACTGAATGAATATAAAGGTGCTACAGTTACCCCAGCAATAGAAAATTAAAGTGTTCTTATAAAATATACCAGTTCTCTTTGGATATATAACCCAAAGTTTGTTATTTCAGGTATAGTCATTCTTTTGCTTGATATGAAAGAGCATCTTAAGTATATGCTTTTAAGTCTTCACATTTTTACAAATATTTCAATAAAATTTCCACATAAAATTTTGAGTATGTTTGAATATATTATTAAAACTATATTCTTTCATTAATTTAATTTTCCCCTTGGCAAGTATTTCAGTTAAAACATTTTACAGCTATTGGGGAAGCTGCTGATACAGTTATACTGTGTATAACAATGATATGATTGCATGTTTAGTTCTCTAAGTACATTTTATTTTCTTATTTAGGGAGGAAAAATTAGTAAAACCACCATGTTAAATCAGATAACATTATACGGAGCACTGAACAATTATCTGGTTGTACTTTTTCACAAAAACCCACATAACTGCTTTGAGAGAATTATTACTGCTAGTAAAAGTCCACTGTTGCAACCCAGGATATATTACTATGGTTACTGAAAACCTGCTCATCGACAATTTAAATCTATTCACTTACCAGTAGAAGAATTTAGTTAATGAGTAGCTATGTAAGAATTTGGACAACAAAGCCTGCCAGATCCAGTTTTATAAAATTAAATTTTCTCCGGGGACTGTGGGGAGAAAAGCACCTACAATCCAAGAGTCTTTCTTTAAGTCTTATTTCCTACAAACAGCAACATTTCCCTCAAATTTCCATTGAAAACAACAACTAAGTAGCTATGTCTATTAAAGAGAACAGCACTCAAATACATAAGTATCACAATAAAATATAACACATATCTAAGTAGTAATGTTTCTACTAGAAATGTAGCACTGTGGGTCTGAAATCTTCAAAATGTCAAGAGCTAGGCAAAGTATCATGCTATTCTCAATTACAAAAATTCTTCCTTGTATGATCTCTATTTTGGCAAAGTCCTACTTCCTTTGAGAATGGTGACATAGAACATAAGAAAAACCTTAAGCTGGCTTAAACCATCAGGATCAGTATAGCCTGATTTTACTGACAGTCAATCTCCAGAGTTTCAAATGGGAGTCTCTTCCAGGCCTGCCTAGAGCTGCCAGAAATTGAACCTGGGACCTTTTGCATACAGACATGTGCTCCATTGCTGAGCTCTCTTCTACTGTATTCTGTAGGATATGTGTGTAAAGCAGAAGAGGTTAGGAGGCCAAAAACATTTGCTGCCTGAACCAGAGCAGCACATGGCACTGAAGTTAAAGAAAATCCCACAACTGTCTGCATTCCTCTCTAACAATAAAATAATACATTGAACAACCAACAATTGGCAGCCACATCACATTACCTAGTGATAGGGGTGGGTCTGCATGCAAGCAAGATGAACAGCTTTTCCCAAAGGCATACTAAAGTCATGAACATGTGATCACCATATGAAGCTCATCATTTCAGTAATAAAGGAACTGGCACAAGTACACTCAGAAGCACTGCCTATTACCATGGTGAAATCATGGAGTACTTGTGAAATGCCAGATGTCTGGAGAACCAATGTTGTCACTATCTTCAGCAAGAAAGAACCTGGGAACTACCGTATTTTTCCATCCATAAGACACCCCAATGTATAGGACGCTCCCCACTTTTCCTACCTATCTCCAGCGAATAAGCAGCTGCTGCTGTGTGGGCGCCACTCCGCTGCCCCCCCCACGGCACCACTCCGCTGCCCCCGCACGCGCGCCCCACCTCGCCACCCCCTGCACACCAGTCTCCCCCCCAAGTGTGTCCACAGCCCCCGCCCCCCATGTATAAGACACACCTTCATTTTTAAGTAAATGTTTTTAAGAAAAAGTAGCATCTTATACATGGAAAAATATGGTATATGCTAACCAGCCTGACAACAATCCCTGGGAAAATTCTGGAGCAGCAGTCAATCTACAAATACCTTGAAAACAATGTCATGATTGCTAAAAGACAATTTAATTTGTCAAGAACAAATCCTGTCAGACTAATCTGTTATCATTTTTTGATTAGGTGGACTGTAGGAATGCTATGGACATAATATATCTTGACTTCAACAAAGCTTTTGGCAAAGTATCCTATGATATCCTGATTAGCAAGCTAGCTAAAACTGGGCTAGGTCCAACAGCTGTGAATGAAACTCAAACAGAGCGTATCAATGGCACCTTCCCAAACTGAGGAAAGGTAACAAGTGGAGTACTATACAGTCCTGGGCCAGGTACTCTTCAACATTTTTAATGGTTTGAATGAAAAGGTACAGGAAATGTTAATCAAATTTGCAGATGACACAAAATATGGTGGGAAAGCTAATACCCTGGAAGACAGAAACAAAATTCAAAGTGATCTTGACAGGCTGGAGCACAAGGTTTAAAACAGAAAGAAATTAAAAAGGACAAGTGCCACATTCTTTATTTAGGAAAAGGAAATCACATTCACAGTTACAACATGAGGGATACTTGGCTGCACAATACCGCAAACAAGGAGGACCTTGGAATTGTTGCTGATCACAAGCTGAACTGAAGTAACAATGTGATATGGTTGCAAAATAGGCAACTGCTATTTTGGGCTGCATTAATAGAAGTACTCGTATCACTTCCAAATTATGTGACATATTAGTTCACCTCTATTCAGCACTGGCTCAGCCTCATCTTGAGTACTGCAGTTCTGGGCACAACCATTTAAAAAGGTGCAGTCAAAATGCAAAGGAAGGTGACAAAAATGTTCAGGAGACAAGAAACAAATGTCAATGAAAAGAAACTGAAAGTACTGGCAATGTTTTGCCCACAGAAGAGAAGACTGAGCAAAGATATACCAGCACTCTTCAAATACCACCCAGAGAAGGACTGGGATCTCTTCTTGATCATCCCAAAGTGCAGGACATGGAATAATGAACTCAAGTTACAGGAAGCCAGGTTCCAGCTAAGCATCAGGAAAAGAATCCTGATAGTAATAATAGAACCAGTAATAATAATAGAACCGTATCATCATCATATGATAATAGAATCAGTCATGCACTCTCCAACACAGGACTCTATGACTGTTTTACAGTATTCATAAAACTGTGTGTTCAAGTGTTTTTCCTGCATCAGCCTCTCCACAGAAGAGCTAAGCTTTGGTGCTCAAGAGTTTTTCCTAATTTGCAACAAATATATTCATTTCTCCCAGTTATGCCTCTCATATCGTAACAAGTACTGCTCCCACATATATGATACTGCATAGGGGATGCAGTATCCCCAGCATCTCTAAGTAGGGCTAGGAATGAATCCTTTCTGAAGCCCTGGAAAGCTGCTGACAGTACTGGGCCACATGGACCAATGGTCTGGCTCCACATGAGGCAGCTTTCTATGTTCCTAACAGATATTGAGAAATGTATGAAACCCTGATGAGATGAGGGGAGGTAAGCAAAGTGTTTGGCTTGCTATTTTGAAACCTTATCACTCACTTGCATCTCTCTTTTCCTACAGATAGTCCTTAAAAACTGTAGAATTCAGATGGCAAATTAATTTAATGGCATTGAATTTTAAAATTATAGCTGATGAGTCATTTGATCAGACAAGAACAGAATACAAAGTTTTTAAAAAAAAAATACAGCTATTATTCTATTTTAAAAAAGCATGTTAGAAAACCCACTATGGTTTTTAAAAAGCTGTCTTGTATTGTAATTTGCAACATCTTATCACTTCTACAACAAAAGCATATTTTAAAACTTAAAAAAGAACTGAATAGCATACCATTTACACAAAGATTATACCATTTTAAAAGATCAACATGTTGCTTACTTTTAAATATGTAGCTGCCTCCTGGATAGAAAGACCTTTCTTGACAGAGTTGCCACATTCATGATCTCCTAGAAGAATTAAATGTTCATTATTTTTATGCATTTATGACTCAATATGAACTTTAAACAGGATTACACTATTAATGTTTTAGTGTTTGTAAGCTATTACATGTTTAAACAGTTTCTAAACTCATGGATATCCCTACCAACATTTGACAGTACAGTATATTTCTATTCAGGACCACTCAGTCTGATGTACTCCCAAGTAAATGGGCATAGGATTGCAGCCTAAGTAACACAATTTATCTTTAGATCATGAATTAAATTTATGGTATAAATTCGCATGACATTTTGAATATAGAGACTTGAATCCTAAGGCTAGTTAACGTAAAAAAGTTAACTAAAGAACATTTCCTAGCCCTTCTTTAATGCTACTCCCTAAAAAGCCTCTTCAAAGGGTTTGGGAAGGTTTCCTAAAGAACATAGACTGGGCTACAAGAGGTCTGTGAGGGTATACTGGAAGGAAATCACCCCAAAATCAGTCTGTAATCCTAGGCTAAGGTCATAGGAGGAAATGTTCCAATCTCATTTTCCCACAGCATCTCATTGTACATTGTGGCTTCCCAGGGGGCTGCAGTGGAGAGGAAGGGACTAGGAAACTTAGCATCCAATCCATAGATTTTACATTTGATGTGCTGCTTTTCTGAGTCTTAATAATAGCCAGTGTTGTGTGGTGGTTAGAGTGTTGGACTGGTGACACAAAAGGTCTAGGGTCCCTGTTTGACCATGAAGCTTACTGGGTGACTTTGGGCCTGTCACAGACTATCATCCTAACCCACTTCCCATGATGCTTCTGTGAAGATAAATGGAGCTAAGAAAGCTATCTTGAATTTCTCACAAGAGGAAACAACATGGAATATAAACACAATGCAATAATAATATGCACACTGAAAATTTATTAAATTTGTCTGCAACTCTAGCAATTTAAACTGTATGCAACAGAATTTTTAATTAGTGGTTAAAAGTATGAAACTTTGCACATTTGTAAACTGACTCACATTATTTCTTTAAAAAATATGAAACTGGGTCAGCAATGTCTGTTGAGGGACAAGATACTGGCCAATGTCTGCTGTCCTTTAGTTCACAATCCAAGGCAAAAATTCTTACAATGAGACTAATAACATTGACTGATTTTTAGCAAGGTCTACCCTAAAAAAATTGATCATTGCGGACTACCATCACATGGTTTTATGTGTAATCATAATCCATGTAACTTTCACCTGGGGCCAGCCCCATAATGAAGCAAGTGACTTGCTTAAGCAAATTGCAAAGAGGAATACAAGATCAAATTATTCCTGTGGTTACCCACATATCAAGAGGGTCCTTTATGAGTTGCCACAGCATCACTTCCATCCCAGTGTTTTACATAGATGCCAGACACACAACTATCCTGCCACCATGCAAGAAATATACAAAAAAATAAGGGATGGGGAGGGTACACCCCAAATTAATCTTTGGGCCAATTCACATCATGTACCAAGGGAGAGTAGCCTCCACAAAATCCAATTCTTCTGGTCTAATGCTTCACTGATCCAGGCAGTCATTCTCATTTATAGCATTCCTGATGCAAATAGCTACAGTATACCAAAAGGTGTGTGCCACACAGTAACTTTGGGCCAGCCCAAATCATAGCTCAAAGTTCCATGGGAATGTCTTCTGTGAGTGGCAACCCATGGCATATGGTCCAGTTCTTCATTTAGACACAGGACCCTGCCAAACACAAAGGTCTATACCCAGTGGGTTTGATGTAACTTCTTTTTCTGAAGACAGAAAGTCAGGTTGGCATATGGAACACATTTACAGATTCCACAGATGCTGTCTAATAGTGGCAGAAGCAGCAACTTATTCATGCCATTACCACAGTGCTACTTGAAAGGTTTGTAGTACCTTTGTGTAACAAAACCAGCAGATTAAGTCAATGAAGGAAAGCAGGAACCGCTGGGTTCATATAACAAGACAACCCATTAAGTCAAGGAGGTCACAATTCCTAGATATTATTCCAATAAACAAATAGTTTTCACTATTTGTACACTCTCAGGAAAGATCTTATTGGGGAAAGATATTTCAGAAGGATCTGAAGTCACAAAGTCCTGCAAACTTGGTTTATGAAATAAAAGATAGATCTGGATGGCAAACAAAAGGGACAACTTTTGGCCCAGCTCAGTAAAGCAAGAATATTATATACTACAACTACAAAAACATACAGGTGCCTATGCACCTGCTAACATGCCATTCTTAATTAAAGTGCTCTTTCATACCATGAAGAAAACTGAAAAAACAATTCAGGTGAATTTTTCAATTTAAAAAGAGTAATATTATTAGCATCATATGATATAAATTCACTCTTTAAAGTATAAGTGAAACAACACAGCTTCCACCTAAAGTTATCTAACGAAGCCTTCTTTTTTTCCAAATTTTATTATTTTCTCTACAATCAAACACTAAAACAGCAATTATTTATGACATTGGACATACTGGGTTGACATCTTACTCTTTTTAACAATCAATAACCATATTCAATTCTACGCATAGTCCTGTTTCTCCAACCAATTAAAAAAAGCGAACTAACCAAGACATCTGAAATTTTATTTGGATGCTATTACCACTGGTGCTAACAGTGGGTCAATTATTCATGTGATTTTTCAGAAACAGTATTTTGCAATAACAATAACAGCAAATAACAATTATTTTATAGCAAACCATCTCCATGTTTCAAAAGATGGCACAGAATTTCTTACTAAAACGTAAACATCCATGTTACATTACTACATGCTCAATTTAAATTTGCCATCTAAATCTGTTAGGACCTTGATGAAAACAAAATTTTGTAAGAATAAACATATATTTTGAAACAAGAGTGGGAAGAAGGATTTGCATCAGGAAATGCTTAGAGACAATTACAGCATGAACATGGCCACTTTGATGATTTTAACACAAAGTGCACAACTGGGCTAAAAATTCTGTATTGATCATTTTACTAAACACTTTACGTGAAGAAAAACTCTATTTTGAACCAAAAGCTTGCTCCTAATCTGGCCAGAAAAGTATAATAGAACCCTAATTAATGTTCATAGATATGAGAATATGCATTTCTGAACTATTCGCTACCATCAGTAATAAGGTATATCATGCAATTGTTGCCTCCAGACACTAAGTATATACATTGCAACAACCACTGCAATACTGCTAGGATATACAAGTTATTCATTTTCTAAAGTTCACAAGAAAAGTCTGCTTCTCATATCTGCAGGAAAAAATGTAAACAAATAGAATTGATTTTTTAATTGGAATTGACATTTTTTATTATTCCTTTTCAGAAAGAACATGTTGTAAAACTTGAATTAAATAAAATAAGGCATTGCCAATTAATGGAGACCTGAAGTAAAGAACTGTGCTGCCAGTTCCACATGCTCAAAGCCACTTCCTATGGCAGATTGCAAACTATTTAGTTAACAGCTCAGCAGGCTAGAAAAGAGCTTATTATGCATGGCAGGGGTGTGAACCACATATTTATTTATTTATTTATTTATTTATTAAAATATTTTTATGCTGCCCCATTCGCTGAAGCCTCGGGGCGGCTTACAACAATTAATTAAAATAATTATAATCATTAAATTAAAAAAATATAAACATTAGATTAAAATACAAAAATACAATATGAAATAAGCCGCCCTGGCCAGATAAAATCCAATAATATTAACAGTTAAAATGCCGCTTAAATAAAAAGATCTTCGCCTGGCGCCAAAAAACAAATAACGACGGCGCCAGGCGGACCTCTCTGGGGAGCGCATTTCATAACTTAGGCGCCACCGCAGAGAAAGCCCTCCTCCGAGTACCCACCCTCCTAATTTCTTTCACGGAGTGTTCCCAGAGAAGGGCCTCTCCCGCCGATCTCAAGGGGCGGCTGGGCATATATGGATGTAAGCGCTCCTTCAGGTAACCAGGACCCAAGCCGTTTAGGGCTTTATAGGTCATCACATCTGAAGGGTCATAACTCCCACCAACCTTAGTTAGCATAGTCAAGGAGAAAGGTTTCAGTTCAACAGTATTTGAACAGTTGAATTTGAAGTATGGCCCTCAAATTAAAAATTCCCAATGCATATGCCCCAGCTCTAATATGTGCCTAAATTATCCCTTTGCATCATACCAAAATCTGCTAACCTGGAAATGTTTCACAGTAAGTTTCACACCTGTTTTCCTGCTGAAAAATAATCGAAAACATTTGCCTAACATCCTATCATCAATAATCGTTGCCAATGCAGAGTGGTATGTTTCAGCTAAAAGATAATCTAACTTGAAAAGTAAATAATCAATTTCAATTTCTCTGAAGTTCGACAGTGTGCTGATCCATACTTAGGCATGTGCAATCAGGCTAGGAGAAGCAGGCATTCCTGCCCCTTCTCTTCCCAACAGGTTCTTCATTCCCATGAAAAGGCTACAAATAGGGTTGTGGAATCCTGCTGAATGAGGTAGGCTGTGATGATGCAGTGAATGGAAAGGAAAAAAGCATCTGGATTCCCCCACCCCACTCCAGCCAGACCTGCCCCATTATTCACAGTCCACCAATCCATCATAAAGCATTTTCTGGAGATATAGGGCCTGCTATGGGGAAGTACACTTCTTGACAGCTCTATTTCACATACTTAATTCTGCTCTGAACGCTGTATTTACTAATTTAAACTATGTAATTTGTATTCAAAACAAGGTTGACCTAATTCAGCTATTTTCACTACACAGGAAGCAGATAGTATCCATAGGTACAGCATTTAGGGAACAATCCAACAAAGCTTCCTCTCTTTAATAACAGAAGAATCCAAAACCAAGCATATTTGATGACACAAGTTACAAGGGCAGAACTAACCACTCCCTCATGGATTTGTCTACATACCGGGCTAATGGGGCTATTTACCAGATCCCCCTGCCTTCATACACTAGGCAGGTGGTGAAAGAAAAGAATTTTTAATTTGGGACAATGAAATTTGGGATCCTGACTTTGGATCACTATCCCCAGGGAGGTATGTCCACCTTTACCTGTCACTTTTTATGTTCACAGCTGGATTGGACTGATTCAGTACACCTACATAATTGGATCAGCCTCAAATTATGATAGCTTTCTAGTCACTCAAAAATGGGAGTTAATTTTTGGGAATTTATTTATTTATTTTTATTTTTACCCTGTCCCATTAGCCAAACATTTCCCCAAGAGGCTTACAACATGATCCCTGCATGATCTCCAACCCACTCAAGCTCCCACCCTAAAATTTAATCTCCAGCTTTACAAATTGTCTCATAATTGACTTACATATTCCCATTAGAATTTGTTACAAAATTGAGTAATTGTCAGATTTTATATTGTCAGGAATATCAGTTTTTAATTTCTGCCCCAGCAGCTCTCAATGCATATTATGATTTATCTGCCTTGCAATATGAGAAGCTAATTCAAATATATCTACAGAATTCCTCTGGCATTCCAACTCAAGAACGTTATAAACAGCAGATTTTGGGAACTATACCATTCCTTGCTTCCTGCCTGCCCTGTCATACCGTTTTAACCTTTAAATGAAGATTTCTAGGGAACTTGAAAGCCTGTTCACTATTTTGTAACACATTTGCTGGCCCTAATAAAAGGCATTTCTCCACTTTGGAATTTTTTTCCCCAACAGAGCTACCTATGTTTCTTCTGACTAAGTAGCTACTCTATTGATTAATATAGCAGTATTTAGTTTTTCAACAGTGCAATCAACATACAGGACCAGTTGACAAAAAGCAACAAACCATTTATTAAACCCCGAGTTGTTGTGAATGAGTCATGTGAATGAGAATGTGTGCCAGTTCATGCTGCTCAATTTCCCCCACTGCCAGGTGTAGGGTTGGGGAGGGGAAAGTGGTTGGAAACCTTGGTTATCTGTGAAACAAGGCCAAAGTATGTTACCACTTACTTGTATTACATCTGATTAAATATAATTTTACTGACAATGCAAATTAATTCTTTTTACTTTTTGGTCCTACAATGAGGAAGAGCCTTTAAAATCTATCTATTCTCACAATTACTTCTGATTTATTTTTACACATGCAAAGTTATGAAATCTCAACAATTAAATATTAATTTTAAAGGCTTACCTGCTATTTGTGCCAGCTTATCATGAACTTTGTATAGGCTGTTCATAAGAATTGAATTGTTTGCCTAGAAATTTAAGAAGCAGGGTTAACCAATTTTGATTGGAGCATGTAACCCTCCCCCAAAATTATTTAAAACATTCACAGTTTGAAATTAACATGGTTCTAGTGGAAGCCGCCTACTTTAGAAGTATAACTCCTATGCTTTCAGGACCAATTCCCACTTCTCATTTATATTTGTCTACAGCACACCTCTATAACATGGAAACTGTGGAAAATGCACATGCTCTTTCCTAATTATCTGGATTAGATTATGTACTTTCACACAGATCCTATTCTCACTATTCCAAGACTGGCTCAAGAACCATATAATTGATATGAAGTATGGATCTTGTTTGAATAGCTGATTATGTTTAGAAACCTTCATCTTATAATGTATAATCTATCTTACCAAAACCTGTGAAATCTCAACAGTGAACTCTTTTAGTTAAAGTAACGAACTAAAATTATTGGCAATTGAAAGCAAAATTAGCAAAAGCAAGTGGGTGCTCTTTGCTTCTAGAAAAGTTGTCGGAATTGCTAAGGTCTCCCAAGTAAATATTTTCAGAACCTGCTTTGCATCAAACAAGGATCTCCTCAGTTCACCTATTTTCTTTCATCATCCTAGGATTTCTGTAGAATCTTAAAGTATAACAAAATTCTTAGCAGAAATTCACACCAAACAATGCTTTCCAAAGAAGTTGATACATATTGTCAACGAATAGCATGAAGCATGCAGAACTCTTACAGTTAGACTACCTAAGACGTAGGCCAATAACACATTTATAGTATTAGGAAGTTAAGGTCAATAATTTAATGAACAGACTCCCAATATGAATATTAAGAATATACTTACTTCTACACCAATTTTGTCAGGGAACCGTTTTTTATCTATTAACAGGAGAAAAAAAGGAAATTGACTTAATACTGTTCAATGCCATTACTACTTAAAATAAAGTTACAGAAATGAGCTAAACCATCAGGTTTAGTGCAGCATCTATTTACATCAATGGTGGACAGAAGATAGATGTGATGTATTGGTAAATCTCTGTAAAATATCAAGTAGATCTGTAAGACTTTCTTATTCTCAAATGTTTTCACAGCAGCTATGAAGTGAAGGAAGTGTAATGGGAGGAAAGAAAAAGGAGTTTATTTGTGTGTGAAGACTGTAAGCACAGTTCACAATTCCGATACTGTAAACAAATGCTTGGTTTGATCCTTGTGCTCAAAGCCACCAAGTTCCTTAATGCTACTACTGCCTAGCTTCCCTGTGCCGCTATTTTAAAGCTGACATCAGTTGGTAGACCTTGAGATTCTAGGAAAAACAAAGTAAATCCCAGAAGTTCTGGTTTATGTTACTGCACATATTTTATCAGGCATTCCATAGAAACACTTAAAATGTAATCCTAAAATGCACAACTTTGGATGAAGTACAAGAAAAAATGTAGTAAAAATACATTAAGTGAAAACGCAGCCAACATACCTTACATATGGAATGAGGGTACTCTGCCAAATATAAACTTCAGGATAAACCTGGGTTTGCTTAGTGCTAAGTCTAATTGTCTTATAAGTGATCAGTGTAAGCAATAAATCTCTGAATATAATAGGATTCAGGGTAGGACCATATACTGGACACAGTCAGGCATACAATTTCCAATTCTCCAAGCCATCTCAGAGAAAGGAACACAGCACATGGTTTATATGCGAAAGGCTCCGGATGCAATGCCTTGAAAGTTTTCTGTCTGAAACCTTGGAAAGTCAATACCAGTCAGTGAGTACATAGTACCAGCACAGAGAGATCAAAGGTCCACCTAGCTCAACGTCATATACTCTTAAGCCTTGCACTTGCACTCTCAGCTTCCAGGAGATGATAGTTGCCTATTGGTTTCATAAAACTTTAGCTTACAACTACACCTTAATCTACAACCTATGTTTTGAGAAACTCCTCCAAAACTGGATCAACTGACATAATGAAAGATATGGATTGCTTCACTGGAAATGTGTTATCTGAATTCAGTCCTCGAATGAAACACTGTGCTACTGTCAAAATAACAGTACCATGTGGATTCACAAAGATAGCATGCACAGGAGAGTACTGTACCAAGCAGTAAATGTTTATTGAGCAATCAAGCTACTCTTGGTAGAAGAAGGGTGAGGAAAAGTACAGCGTAATGACCTCAGGAAACAAAGTTGTACCGCACATTATTGGAAGAGGAAGGAGAAGGAATTTAATATTTGGCTGCTGTTTTCAGTGATAGCCCAGTGCTCATTGATTCAGACATAACAGCAAGCCCATAGTTTGACACATGTCCATATCCTGATTAGATGTAACCTTTATGCCAGTTTTTTAAATTCATGTATCACATCAAACTAAGGTATCTTTGATGACGCTAGCTATGTGATAGGAGTGAAGAGGAGAAACAAAACACAAATGTCAGGACATGACTCATTTCCACTCCATTAGACATTGACTTATTGTGTCTGCACTGGGCCATTCCATTATATGTTTAGGTATAAACATAAAAATGAAGTTGTAATACAATTTGTGTGAGTCTGCAAACAAATGCATCCTACAGGTACCCTTGGAGGTAAATCCTCATTTGCCTCTGATTGTGTAAAACAGGAACACAGAAACTGACTTTCCCAAGGTCAGACCATCAGTTCATCTAGCTAAGCACTGTATAAGTTCTCCAGAGAAGAAGGTTTCCTAACCCTACTTAAAGATGCCACAGATCCAATTTCGGAACTTCTGCATGCAAAGCATGTACTTTAACTCAGCTATGGCTCTTCCCGCAACTGTTTTGATTGCTGCCTAGCATCTCAGAAATACAGTAAGTTCTCTTGTCCATCAGCATGTTTAACACAAATTGCAGTACTCAACTACTATACAGTTGGAAGTTAGAATGAAAAGATACTTATATCTGCTATTTTTGACACCAAGAAAACTTGGAAACTAACCACATAATATGAAACTCTCAAACACAATTCAGCTCTTAAAATTGAAACTGCATTTCCTTAATAAATGTGGCCTACAGTGAAAAGTCCATACTTATATATATGACTGTAATATTCCTCCATTGGATTTTTGTTATTTTAACTATTTGTTAACTTTATTTATGACAACCATAAGTTGCAATCATATATTAGCATTGTTGTTGTTAGTTGCGAAGCCATGTCCGACACATCGCGACCCCATGGACAACATTCCTCCAGGTCTTCCTGGCCTCCACTATGCCCCGGAATCCACTTAAGCTCACACCAACTGCTTCAGTGACTCCATCTAGCCACCTCACCCTCTGCCGTCCCCTTCTTCTTTTGTCATCTATTGTTCCCAGCATTAGGCTCTTCTCCAGGGAGTCCTTCCTTCTCATTAGCTGGCCAAAGTATTTGAGTTTCATCTTCAGTATCTGGCCTTCTAAAGAGCAGTCAGGGTTGATCTCCTCTAGGACTGACCAGTTTGATCACCTTGCGGTCCAAGGGACTCTCAGGAGTCTCCTCCAGCACCGCAACTCAAAGGCCTCAATCCTTCAGCACTCAGCCTTCCTTATGGTCCAGCTTTCACAGCCACACATTGCAACTGGGAAAACCATAGCCTTGACTGTACGCACTTTTGCTGGCAGGGTGATGTTTCTGCTTTTTAGTATGCTATCTAGATTTGCCATAGCTTTCCTCCCCAGCAGCAAGCGTTTTTTAATTTCTTGGCTGCAGTCCCTGTTTGCGGTGATCTTGGAGCCCAGGAAAATAAAATCTGTCACTACCTCCATTTCTTCCCCATCTATTTGCCAGGAAGTGAGAGGACCAGATAGCATTACCATATAACAAATTAATAAGGGGAGAAACCTTTCCTCAGGACCCTATACTGGGTCCATTTGCCAAACCAGCAGTCCAATTTGGTGGTTTGAAATTTTAAAAATCCAAATGCAACATAAGCACTAGATACCATTACAGATAAACCTTTAAAATATAGCCTAAGAACAAGTGCCACAACTCTGGAAAAATAATTTTTGTCACCAATTTCTTCCTCCACTTATTAATACAACTACCTCTGCTAAGTATTCTGAGTGCGGATTCATAAATTGTGAAATTAGTGGAAACCCAGCATTATAAAGCATGCACTCCCAGATGTAACTTTTCAAGTCTCTGTTAACAAGTACAGCTATACTTTTAATTTAAAAAATACAGTTCTAAAAATCTTTTATCAGCCTTTTTGGACTCAAAACCATATTTTAACCAAGTAATTAGGGCTTAATAAAAAGTGGTCAAACACAACACATAAGCTAGAAATATTATAATATTCAATGATCACTGTATTTGGCTAAATATGGCTTTATCTAAAGAATGGAAAAAAACAAATAACACTTTAGTTTCCAGATTTTAAATTATCTTATCTGTACTTTTCTGGTAAAAATAGTATTTTCAGAAGTTACCAATATTTTATCTATATAAGATAGAGAAACCAGCAAGTTCTGCTTTTTCCACTTCATCAAGGAAGGGACGCTGTGATATTGTCAACAATGAAGCAGAACACAAGAAATAAGAGCAACAAGATGAAAAGTATTTTTCAAAATCTTGCATCCATTCAAAATCACTGAATTCCAAGTAATAAGAAATTATTAAATATTAAAAATGCCTTATAATAGAAGGAAGGAGAATACTAGGTTTTTGTGTACACTCTCTTTTCTCTTGTATACCGAACACATTAAGACAGAGGTTTTATCCATTAAATAACACACCGCATCTACTAGAACACCAAGGAACAACTGTTTCTTCCTATTCAGGAATTCCTATTGCCAAATGCCTCCTCAACTGAAGTCAAACACGTTTCTTCTCACATCTATTTTTTCACTTCAACTGTCAGAATTCCTAGACAGATGAGCAACAGAGGCTACAATCCTCTACACAGCTACCCAGAATTAATCCCTATTAATCTTAAAAGGACTGATTTCTGAGTAGACATGCATAGAATTGCAGCTATATTACAGCACATGTTATATATGCACATGAAACTAAAGCACTATTCAGCTCTGAAAAGGTAACACAAATAAGAAGTGTCATTAGTTCCCTCCCTCCAAGCATCCTCACAAGAGCCAGTTCTGGCCTCTCAGTTCCAGACCTCCTCATGAAGAATGCTAAGGTCCACAGAAGGCTTTTATTCACATTCACTTGAACTCAAATAAACTGCTTTGTGCAGCTGGGAAATCTGATAAAGCAGGGATTCTGGACACATGAAGGCTTCTAGTCTCATTCAATCCTGAAAAGAAGCCCCCATGGCCTTCCCAGTTCAACATGAAGCAGTCATGAACTCTGGAACCAGGACTGGCATGTGCAGCTCCATCATTGCTCCTGTTCCATGTTCAGGCATAACTTGTATTTCAATGCCATTCCAGAATCCTAAAAAGAGTACATTCTAAAATTAAAATGGGCTTCTGAGTAACTTTACGCATTACAAATTTGTACATGGAAAACAGTTCAATGCCAGAACTGACAGGTTATAAAATGGTTCAAAATGCTATTATAATCTCTTTTATGCAATGTATCTCCTGCACGCAAGTTCTGTAATGTCTGAATTAGCCTGTTATATGCCAACAATTACTGGGGAAGAATATCTGCAAGTCAAACACCATTTCAAATTGGATTCATCTCCCAGAGCCATCACAAGACCTACAAGTCAAAAATTTTGGATTAGCTTTCCATTTTTAGACTTGGGACTATGCTTTTCTTAGAAATAAAATATACATAATTTGGTAGATAATAAGTGCACTAACTTCTACCCAAAGTCTTCATCAACCTTGACAGATGTATAATTAAAGTATAGACATGTTCCAATCAAGCATAAAAACTATACACAAACTATGGAATCTGGGATATAGGAAAGACCACGATGGTTTAAAGCTACTGTTCTTAATTCCACTGCTGAAACAGAAAAGCTGATTCTACATAAGCAAAAATTAAGAGTTCACCAGTCACAAAACAGTATTACTCAGATTTCACTTACCACTTGCGACATTTGTAGGATTCACACACAGACTTAAATAGCACAGCACGTATTAAGTCCAATTCTTAATACTTACTATCAACTCCCACATCCTCTGCTGCTCCTGAACCTCTCATTCTTAGGTAAGTGAGTCCCAGCATGAGAAAGAATAAGCATGCAGCAGTTAAGAGGAACATAGACAGGTAGTGAGCACTGAAGCCTCCTGTGGTAGATATTTCTTCTCTCTTGAATTGCTGAAGAAGATCTTCCTCTGGCTCAGAAAGCTTCTGTTTGTAGGTGTTTTTCAGATAGGTATGATTGGAACCTGTGTGGTTGGAGTGATTAATTCTAGTGGAGGCAGAAGTAGTAGCACCTGGAGAGAGACTGTTGGTTGCAGTATAGATCCTGGGTTCAGTACTGTAGCCACCAAGTGCACCAGTGAGGACATGATTATTGGCTGTTTTCCTGTTACCACCCAGAGAATCAGTCATTTTGCTACTGTCCAAGTCAGCCAGCAGTGGTGGAAGCAACAGCTGATGGGCTTTCTTAGAGGAGCTGCAGCGATATCTAGGGATAAGAGGACTTGACTCTAGAGGTTCACCATCTCTTTTAGCTGTTGCTGCTTCCTCTTCATCTTCCTCGCGACTTTCCCCGCTCTCCTTAATGTTTCCCCCGGCAGCCGCTGCAGCTGCCCCCACCCTGATGTTCACTGAGCCGCCGCGCCCCTGGCCTGCCTCCATCAAGCCATCGCCAGTTGCAGCACATTTACGGGCTGAGAACTGGGTACATTTGCTAAGGCTTTTTCTGGCCAGGTAGTGGCGAGCGAGCGAGTCCTCTTTCAATACCTGCTGCTTAGCCTCGGTCGACCCCACCGCCGTCTCCTCCTCCTCCTCCTCCTCCTCGGAGTCCGAATATTTGTCCCTCCTTGTCGCGCCGGTGTAGGAAAAGAACCTGTTCCCGTTCACTGCCCGGGTCTTATATCGCTCCCGATGCAGCTCTCCCTCCCTCCTCTCCTCCTCGTCGCCGTCATCCTCTTCGCCGTCGCCCGGCTCCCTCCCGCCCTCAGTCTGCTCCCGAGCCCCTGCCGTGACCGTCGCCTGTCTAGCCGTCGCCCCCCACCAGGCATTGGGCTTCCTCCGCGCCGGCGCCTCCGCCAAGGCGCTGTTATTGAGGCAGCCAGCGCCCAACGCTGCTGCAGGCCTCAGGTCCCGGCGTGAGCTTGAGCCCCGTTCCCTCCGGCTGCCGGCGGCGCCAGCCTGGCCCCTGGGACTGGCCTCCACATCCGACTCGTCAGAGCTAAAGCCCAGCAGGACTTTGCCGCCGCCGAAAGGAGCTGCGCGAGCCCGGCCGCCGCCGCCGCCGCCCGCGCCGGGCAAAGCGGAGAAGTCGGCGCTGGCCAGCCTGGCCCCCAAGCCGCCGCCGCCGCCGCCTCCTGCCCCTAGGTTATTGTTGTTACTGTTCCGGGTCTTGTTGGTGGCGACGCCGCGGGCCCCGCCAGCCCGCTCTTCCTCCCGTAGCTTCTTGAGCTTTTTCAGATAGACTGGCCGAGTGCTCTCCGTCACCGGCCCCGGGGAGAAGCCGAGTCGCCTCAGTTCGGAGAAAAGCTCCTCATCAGTGAGCTGCGCGGCGGCCGCCGCCATTTTCCTCCTTCAACCGCCGCCGCAGCCGCTTCCTACCCACGCGCCGAGCTCCCGTCTCCGCCCAGAGGCCGCAGCCTTAATGTTCTCGAATTAGAGTTCCGGTTCCCTGACTGCAGCGAGGGAAGAGATCCTCCATGTGCGGGGAGTTTTAAGTGCTGGGAATGCATAGAAATTTAGGCAACTCTGAGAGGGCAGTAATCACTCTCTAAACTACACACTCAACTGCTTACAACAAAGCTGGGCCGGATAAGATTTTGATTCCTCAAAGGATTGTATTCGCCCCTAATGAAAAAAGATGTTTAGCAGATTAGAAGGTTCAACCTGCTGCGTTTTTGTCTAATGTCTACGTTATAAATGCTGCTAATACAGTTTATATACAACCCTCAGCTTAGTTATATACCTGCCAATTCGAGGTCAAAGCTGGATGCACCTGATGTTCAAAAAAGTCTGAAGGTATTACTCCTTAAAATAGTGCAAGACTAGGAGTATAACTGACATGCTACTTTTTCTATCCAAAAGAATAAGAGAAAGCTTTTACTTTTATTTTTAAAAGCAACCTTACGGTGACAGAGCTACCTTTGATAGTTTAAACAAAGGGTACATGATGCAGAAATTCAACTATAATATTATGAAGGTTAAATGGCAGGAGAATCTGCACCAGTTAATTTCTTCCTACAGTTCTGAAAGGCACAAGAAACTTCCTATTTGAAATCCAAGATTATAGTGTAGACATTTATCACTCAGTGTGCCTTTCCAGCCTCATATAAAACCTTAGCTTCAAGTTCTAATGGGGCACAGGTATCAAATGTGAATCAATTTGGCAGGCTTTCCTCATCCAGGAGGCAGAATAAACAATATGGGCCAGTAACTACTGGGGTAAATCACACTGTGCATGCCACACATCCACAAAACCATCCGTGTTAATCTGTTGCAGCATAAATCTATCTGTGCTATCTATCTGTGCTTACATGAAAGCAAAGCCCACTGATTTCAATGGGACTCACTCTCTGTATGTGTACAAGATGCAGCCTGAAAAGAGCTAATCAACAGTTCCTTCCCACTTGATGCTGTTGGTCCTGACTCCGCATGCCAGCAATCCTGGGCACTGTGGGAGGTCCAGCTACAGGTCCCCTATTTTGTGCAAGCCATCGGTGCCTGAGGAGAAGACAAGATAGCACCCCTCCCTATTCCAGGTATGGAAGTCGCCAGCCAAATGGAACAAATCGGATTTAAACTGTGGCAATGGGGCAGCATCCTCCACCGCCTCTGAGGCTATCAGTCAATCTCAGCCAGCACAGAGCTGTTCAAAGGGCACACACAACCCCCCCCCCACCTCATTCCATCTAATGGTAGGGCCGGCCTGTGTATACCCATCTTCTGCCTCCGTGCAAGTGATCCTGTCGCAGGCCTAGAAAGTACAATGGGACTTCCTGTTACCCCATTGTTTTGGCAGAGGAGCCAGGAAGGAATCCAACGTAGCCTGTTTATTCCACTTATGTATACACATAAGTCATGGACTATATTCTGGCTTTAACCGCCACCCTCTCCCCCCCCCCCAATAAACCCAGCTTTATTTCTCCCAAATACCGTGTTCAGCATTTAAACCAAAACAAGAAAGCGCTATTTCTGCTGCCAAAGAGAAAACAGCCTCATTCAGTGAGAATTTTTTGGCGGTGATTAATTCAATGCGCTGCAAAGACAAGGAACCGTCTAAACCGCTCCCCGTGTAGACAGGGAAAAACTGCCGTAGGTCCAGTTCCCAAATGCCCCCCATGTGGAAATGTCTATTAAGAACGCGAAGTGGTGGCCCCGTGAAGCGTTTATTTTTCTACCGCTTTGGTCCCCGCCGACCGGAACTGACGCGTGCGCACTAGGCTGTGGCCTAGACCCGCCCGTCACCCTGGAAGAGACGCGTCCCGCCCCGCCCGCCGGCTCTTGGGAGCGGGAGGTGGGAGGTAGAGACAGCCGGCTGAGCGGGCTTTCTAAGATCAAGATCACGCATGTGAAATGCAGTGTGTTTGTGGAGGGGCTGCGGCAAGCCTCATCGCTGGCCGGAAGGATAACAGCGTCTGCGGCTGGTTTTTGCCAAGATAGTGACTACGGATCACTTTTCTCTGTTGTGGACGCCTTATCCTGGCTGCCGTCCTTAGATTCAGACACTGTGCGCAGCGGCATAGAGAGCAAGGCAGATTTTAAACGGCTGCTCGGAGCTAGAATCCAACAGTATGGGAGGTTCTGCCTTAAGTTCAGTGAGGCTGCGTCGCCCTGCAAGTCTAGCATTGGGATTGTTGTTTCCACGGGATCGCTAGTAGTGGAAGAACTACAGGAAGAGCTCTTGGCGGTTGCACAAGCAACTAGATCGACTTGCACAAGTGGTATCTAGTAGAATGTTCTGGGAAAATGCTTGAGCAATCGATGGCTTCCACAAATGTAAATTAAAGTCAGGATAGTACACTTGCACAACTGTGATGAAAATGGGATTTTTGCACGTGGTAGAAGCCATGTGTGAGCAGAATACCAGCTCTGGATAGAACCCAGTGTTCTGAACTCTAAAGAACTGTATGCTATAAAGAAAGAACCATAAAAGAGATATTCAGAATTTATATCCTATAAAATTTTTGTTCATTCCTGCACCACACAAAAAGTCTGTACAATAAAGCCCATTAGACTAGATTGAGAACCAAATCCAAAACCTTTCTTCAAAGCATTTTACCCAAAGAGAACTGATTTTCTCACATAAATGTAAAAGTGCTTTTCAAAAGGTTCTAATCATATCTGTAATTCCATCTGTAATTCTTTATCCATAAATGGCTTCGGCAAGGGGCGGCATAGAAATGTTATAATAATAATAATAATAATAATAATAATAATAATAATAATAATAATGCAAGAACTTTCAAAAGAAATAGTTGGTTATTAACCTTTTTATGCAATGGGCCTTAAAATACACAGATGATTTTGGAGGCTGTATTCATGATACATCTTTTTGAAATGTCAGCTTCATTCTAAACCACTCCATCTTTGCTAATCTTGTTAGGGCTGTGCTTTTTAGTAACTGAAGAGTCAGTCTGTGCCTCATAGGCTACAATCCTATGAAACTTATTTTAAGTAGACACACAGAGGATGTAGAGATAATCTTTCAAACTGACTGCTCTGCAATGGGAAGATCTGAGTCACTTGTCTGCAGAAAACAAGCTATCTTAAGCAGCTAGAAAAATGCAAAATATTTGATAGGGATTTCTTGATCTATTTTAACATTAATAACATCTTTAAATTTGCAAAGAAAATTTCCAATACAGTTTCATTTGTTTACTTTTTTGTTTATGGTCGCTGTGTATTTCTGTTGCTTGCTTCTGTTGCTACAAAGTGTCCCTACAATTGTTATGGAAATAAAATGAGCACACTTAAGGAAGACAAGTAGGTCTTGGATTGGGCTTTGGGTGAATCATTTTGGCTTGTTTCAAAAATTGTCTGTTTTCATGTGTGTGTTTTATAAATCAAAATATATATTTTAAGTAATACAACCATATAATAATAAAACCATATTTTCATCCCCTTAAGGTGTCCTAGTGAAGAGGTCAATAGTGCACCAGTCCTTAAATGATATAATGTGTTCCTAGTCTCTCAGTCTAGCTACAAGTACTGCTTTATAGACACTTAAGGAACTGTCTAGCCCAGGGGTCGGCAACCTTAAACACTCAAAGAGCCATTTGGACCCGTTTCCCACAGAAAAGAAAATACCGGGAGCCACAAAACCCTTTTGACATCTAAAATGAAGACAACACTGCATATATCATTTTTTACCTTTATGCTATGTATAAAAACTATAGTGTGTTGCATTTATGAAATCAATGAACTGCTACAGAGAAAACAATATTTGTGCATGCAACAAAAACATTTTGAACTCTGAAAAAAAAAAGACGCTGGGTTGAAGGCTACTTTCAAATAAAATACTCAATGTCTATTCGAGTTGTCCTCATATTTATGAAGTAAAAAGCCGAACTTAAATTACGATTTTTGCTCAGATCAACCTTCCACTTCAGTTCCGAAATGGCTTTTTTCTCTCATCTCCATTCGGATATTTTTCAGCAAAGCCTGTGTGTTTATTCTGGAAATGTCTTGCAACATTCGACTTCTTTTTGTTTGCCAGTTTCTCACCACATATTAAGCATACTGGTAAACCAGTCTCGTCAGCAGTGAAAGCAAATGAATCTGCCCACGTTCCATTAAACATTCTGTTTTCTTCTGAAACTTTTCTTGGATTTATCCATGGTTGGCCTACCGGGGGTCGAAAAACTCAACAAATCGACAGGTGTCACACATTGGCGGTTGTGACGAATATTTTGAGTGACGGAGCCACAGCAGAGGGATGAAAGAGCCACATGCTGCTCTGGAACCGCAGGTTGCTGACCCCGGTCTAGCCAAGTCATACTGAACAATAAGGAACCATACATTGCCCAGCAACAGTTCACACCTGGACAGCAGACTAGTCCTTCTCCACTATAGAGAAGTATTGCCATTTTATTTACACAGAAATAATTGTATGTCTGTATACATAGAAATTAACAAATTCTCCAATGGGAAAAACATGCTAGTGTTGCAGGCTCTGAACAGGTTGCCGCAACATATTGCTAGCTCTAATGCCAGAGCAGACATTGTAAGCATTTTCAAAGATTCTCCTGTGCTTTCGCTTCCACCTACACATTAGTTAAAACAATAATGTACAGATCTCACTATTAGTAAAATATTCTTTGTTCACTTTGCAAGGCTAAAGGAGGTTGCAAGGCTGATTACCGATCAAACTAATGCCCTGGCTGAAACTAACGTTTGCATGAATAAATTACTCAACAGTATAGCTTATCCATACTGTTTGATTCCTACTTTAATACCATGGCTGTAGTAGTTCCTAATGATGCACTCCTGGCATTTATTTGTCCAGTTCTTTTGAGCATGGTTCAGTTTATGCAGCCTGTGGATAAGATCCTTGGTTGTGTGATCCTTGCCCTTTGATGATCAAGGCAACCCAGGGAAGCTTGGCTAAATTGTTACA